GATAGAGATGGCGGCGAGGGAGTGGCGGCTTAGATTTAGGTTTTAGATTTAATTAATTTTTGGTTAATTAGGTTTTGGTTCATTAAGCTTCAGATTTAATTAGATTTTTGGTTTAATGAATAACTGGTTCAGAAGCCGGGTTTATTTGTAAACCTTAGGTTAATTATAGTTTGGTTTAATGTCTGTAATTAGTTTTTGGTTTAAGGTGTTCTTTATTGTATACTGATTTTAATCAATAAATAAATAAAATTTTATTTTATTTATGAATTAACTTGAAATTCTAGTTTTAATTATTTTATTTTAATTATATATTGTTAATTAATTAAAATTTAATAAATTAATCTAATATTTTTTAATTAATTTATTTTTAATTATAGCGTTATAACTATATCATTAAAAATTATGTTATTGCACATGAAAAATGTCACAGGAAATCATATAGTAACAAAATTATGATGTTATTAAAAAGATTTAATATAGCAAATCATAAATGCTATAATATCTCTAATTTTTTGTAGCACGCGAAATTCGCTATGATATAAGGGGGGTCTACCATAGCTGCGGCTGTCACGGCGTTCTTCGAAACGCTACGAAAACCCTATAGTAGCGTTTTTCGGGTGCTATCAATACCAATATTTCTTGTAGTGTTCCTTAGTTAAGCAGCTTCAGTTATGTTCAACATCCTCAAAGGTAAATAACATATATATTGTGACCTATACAGTTTCACTATCTTCATATCTAAGAGCATCTCCAATGGTGTTACTACCATTGGAGTCCTTAAACCTTATTAAACTATTTTTATTTTTATTTTTTTTGTTTGAAGAATTAAGGATTCTAATAAAAAAAATTAGTCCAATGGTGTACTCCATTTTAAGAATTCTTAGGGAAAAAAATATTAAATTGTATAGTTGTTGTTTAAACCATAAAAAGGATACAATAACCAAATCTAAACTCATTTCTCTATCAGCTCATATGCCCTATGATCTCCATAGAATTTCCAGTGATCTCCATATTCGAAACCCCTGCAACAACTGAGACAAATACATGCTTTAGCATTGGTTTTTGTTTTAATTAGTGACTACCAAAAATTAATGACAATCATAAATGAGTAACCTCTTTGAGAACAGTTTCACCGTCATTGACAATCTTAAGAGGTCCATACATGTTCTGCAACACTACATTTCGGCCCTTTGGACCCAATGTAACGCCTTATAGCTTAGCTACCATATCTGCACCTGCCTGCACCAAACTTCACCACCATTTTTCTCCATAAGAAAAACAAATTTATCAACGAATCACTCACAAAAAGGAAAGAAAACCTGAAGCTTCTTGGTGATAGAGCCATCACGGTTGAAGTGGACTTCTTTCGCAGCAGCTCTTGCTCTCAGAGCGAAATGAGAAGACGAAGAGTGTGAACACCTTTTGCGGAAATTTCTATCAGCGATAGGTAATGCATAGAGTGAGGAAGCCATTGCTGCAAATGACTACAAGAAGAAGAAGAAGCTATCAGCTTCTCTGAGCAAGAAAAGATATAAAACAGATGCATCTAAAAGTTCCGTTTTTAGAAACAGATGCATCTAAAAGTTTTAATTAGTGACTACCATCATGGCGCAGAAACAGACGAGTTTCACCATGGTAAAGAGTTCGTTTGGCTCTGTTATAAGCAAAGAAGTCTTCACATAGATCATCATGGGCCTGTGTCCGAGTAAAAAAGTATCAGCTAAGAACTTTAAATTTGAGAAACCAATGAAAGCACTACTCTTTCCTCATCACCTTGGCACAATAAGAACAGGTTCCACACGGCATAATGAAAGCTCCAACTACACGAGAACCAACTGGAAATTTGAAACAAGACATTCATGATTCTAATAAGAACAATATGATTCCAATTGAAATGTTTAAAGGAACCTTTTGATGATCTTGTGATCAGTAAGTGGACCATGTTCAACAACTTCACCAGTAATCTCATGACCAATAACACAAGGACTAGAGAATGGTATCTCTCCTTTCATCACATGAAGATCAAAGTGGCATACTCCACAAGCTGCCACATACGAATTCAAAAAGAATGCAAATTAAAAACCTTTTTTTTTTAATTTCGAAACGAATTAAGATCATGAAGATATTTATATATGTAATGTAACCTTTGATTTTGATGAGAATCTCATTCACATTGGGTCGGGGAATGTGAAACTCTTCGATGGTTAGAGGCTGATTTGGCTCGCGATACACAGCTCCACGCATGTATTCACCGGAGCTCACGTGATACCCATCGATGGTAAGCGGAGACAGAGGCGGAGGGGGTTGACGATCATCGCCGCCGGAGGCTACTATTTGCAGAGATCTAACGGAGGGAGAAGAGCCAAGGGAGAGTCTCGATAGAGAAAAGAGGTTCTTAGCGGCGGAAGCGGCGGAGAATTGGAGCAAACGCCATGGAACCACCTTGATATTGCCAGAGCTCTATTTTTTTTTCTGATGGAGAAATAAACTGATTTTTTTTTTTGAAGACACGCAAAACCCATCCACAAGTCTCACCTATCACCTGTTGCCACGTACAGAAGGACTTGATCCTTGCAGGCCTTCTGGACGGACTGATCCTTGCGGATTTGGGCCAATTTTATTATTAAAAATCAGACCCGCCTGGAAAACCAGGCCAAGGACTCGCGAATATATATGGTTGCGGCTGGAACTAAAATGCTGCAAAGAGTGGGGTCTGTTTTAGATATAATCAATTTGTTGGCATTATATTATGCAGGAATATCCTGTTGGTATTGTCTTCCACAATCTTGTACATTTAACGATATGCACATGTGCGACAAAGTGGTTGAATATACTTCTTTGTGTGCTCAAAGATGAGTTATTCTTGGGTTTCCCTAGTTTCACCATTACAATACGATTGTATTATTTCATATGTGATATCTTTTAAAAAAATAAATAAAATCTTTTTCTGTTATATTATGTTTTAAAAAATAAAAATACAAAAATAAATAAAAAATTTAGTAATTAATAAAAACGAAAATAATATTTTTAAAAGAAAATATTTTAGCACTAAACCATAAACTATAATCTTAAACCCTAAACCCATGGGTAAATCATAAAACTTTGGATAACTTTTATAAAAAAATTATTTTTAAAAAAATTATTTTAACACTAAGACACTAAACCCTAAATCCTAAACTCTAATCCTAAACCCTAAACTCTAATCCTAAACCCTAAACCATTGGGTAAATCATAAACACTATAAGATTTATCCAAAGGTTTATGATTTATCTAGGGGTTTAAAGTTTAAGATTAGATTTTAGGGCTTAATGTTAAAATATTTTCCTTAAAAAAATAGATTTCATTTTTATTAATTATTTTTATTTTTATTTATTTTGTATTTTTATTTTTAAAAGCATAATATAACTTAATAAGATTTTGTTTCCTTTTTAAAAATATATCAAATATGAAATAATACAATTCTAAGGGATGGACCAAGAATAAGTCCTCAAAGATTCACCTAAGTTATAGGTCTCAGAATTGAACAGGTACTTTTCATCTTAAAGGCTAACTATTCAGCCTTTTTAATCAAGTTTTTTTCCCAGTATATGATGATATAGTATGTTGTTCTTTTACATCTCAGTACCACCCCATTCGACATGGTAAAAAACGCCCCTGCTGGAATGGACCTAGCTCAGTTCCGGAATGTGTTTTAACGAGTCTTGAAACTCTGGAGTGGGTAAAATACGAAGGAACAGAAGAAGAGAAAGAAGCAGTAGCATTTATTCTTACAAACGCAAGATGTCTAAAGAAAGCAACTATTTCCTCTTCATCTACGGATCCGGTCAAGAAGCTCACAGAGTAGTCATTTCTAACAAGGTTTTCAAGTACCTGTGATCTTACATTCTACTGAAGTCACTACATCCTTGAGTGTAAAGACATATTCAATAGTCAAAATAAAACTCATATTTCTTGGTGTTTGATCAAAATCTTAGATATGTTGCAATCTCTAACAAACCTTTTAACAATGCATAATGATTATTGGGTTTCGTTCACTTTGTGTTCCCAATTAATTGTCCACTGTTTCTGGGTTTTTTGAGAAACACAAATTAAGGAGACATGAAGATGAAATCCTAAAAGATTCTTTAGAGGAAATTGCCATATTTAAGTGCCTTTGATTTTCCTTTTTTTATGGAATTTGAATCAAATTAAGTATTTGAGCATATATATTTAAAGAGTTTTTGATTTTCCTTCCTTTTTGATGGAAATCTGAATTAAATAATATAAAAATTTTGATTTCCTATATAATATATATATATATATATATATTTATTTATTTATTTATTTCAAGAGGAAAAAGGTGGTCACCGGAGGAATGTATCTATATTATTAAAACTGGGTATGTTTTGATACTGAGGAAACATGGATAACACTATTAAAAATAATATGTTTGGAAACATGAATAGCAGTGTTATTTTAATATTTCATTTTATTTACATATTTAGCCATTGCATTTACAAAAATTAAGAACTTCCTTTTGTATTTCTTTTTATTTACAGATTTTGCCACTGCATTTAAAATTCATTTAACTTAATTAATTACAATTCCAAAGTTGATGGTGTTACTGATAATATAGAAATATCAATTACATTTATTATATTTTATATAAAACAATTTTTAAATATAGTATTACCTTATTTAATTTATTCAAATAAAAATTTTGAGAGTTCAAGTCAAAAATAAATAATAAATTAATAATAATTCCCAAAAAAAACTAGTGCAAAAAATTAAAATTTAGTATGTTGTTTTTTCAAATAAATTAACAAAAAAAACTATCAGGTTAATATATAAATAGTATAATTATATCAAGTTATAAAATTCTTAATAATAATATTATGTACATATAAAAGAACTATTATCAGACATCTATTATAAAATAATATATTCTACTATATATATAAATTACAAAACATAAAAATATATATGAGATTTTTTTTTATAAAACTAACGGTTTATGAGTTTACGTTGAACATATGTTAAATCAAACACATGCGCGGAGGCGCGGATCAAGATCTAGTTTTTCTTATCTATAAATCATTTGTTTGATTTCATAGATGAGTTTTTAAATAATCTGAAGCTTTTCTCGATAGATGAGTTTTCAATGTTTTCAGGTAAATCATGGATAGGATAAGTCAATTGCCTGAAGATCTTCTCTTGAGAATACTGTCAAAACTGCCTACTGCTAATGATGTAGTGACAACTATGGTTTTATCGAAAGGTTGGCAGCCTTTTTGGAAGTCAGCGCCAAAACTTGTGTTCGACAATAGCTATCAAAATATCTATACTAGTCTTTGGTTCTGCACGAGGCACCCATAGAAACTTTGCATTTCAAACTTACTCAAATTTTTGATGTCCTTGATACTGGAATATGGATTATTGCTGTTCAATGCCTTGTTTACTTGAATATCAATATCGACTGTACTTCTAGTACAACTCCTGTTATGCTTCCAAGGAGTTTAGAGCATCATTAACTCTGCATTTTAACTAGTTTTTAAGGTGTAGGATCTACGTTTTTTTTTTAATTTCCCTCTTCCTCCTCTTCCATAAGGGGCCCCTCTTAGGGGATTTTTAGACTGTTCGCGGACCACACTAATATGTGGTAGTTCACGATTGGTTTATCTTTTAATTTATTTATTTTAATAAAAATAAAATAAAATAAAAATTTGCATAAGAACCCGTGCATGCGTTAATGCTTCTCTTATACACATATGTTGTGGAATGCTTGTGACTTTTTAGAATTCTTTGATATCAGTTGTCTAGTTTGTTTTTTAGACTTATTTGACATCGGTATGTCGTTCTCTGCCACTGACGTGATTCTTGGGAAACTGAAGTTCTCCTCGTTAATCTAAATGCCGGGATTTCTCTCGTTAATTTTTGGGAAAGCGAGGTTCTCCTTGTTAACTATTGGGAAAGCGAGGTTCTCCTCATTAATTCTTGGGAAAGTGAAGTTCTCCTCGTTATCTACCAAATCAAGCAAGCGCTCGCTACTGTTGCCAATTACATGCACAAAAAGCGGACTGGAAGAATCTACACTCTTACACGAACTAGTCTATGCACCTACAAGGAATGTCTAGCTCACTACCACGAGAGTTAAAAGAGCTAAAGTGGTCCTAGGAAGCGGCCAGACCAGACAGAGACACGAGGCGGGAATGAAAATCGGAGCACCGCCTCTCCATCTGTGACCTTTGAGAACAAAAGGCCAAAACCAACATGTGAAGACTACTCTCTGGTGTCATTGAAGAGAGGCCAAGCTATGAACCTTTGAGACCAAGTCCTAGACTGGAAACCCAAATCAAGGAACCGTTAGAGTAGAAGCCGAGAAGGAGGAATCTGAAGCGAAGTGTCCGAGTCAGTTGTTCACAAGCAGCCACAGACAACAAGCTTGCTATAAACACCACACCCATTCACACGAGCCTGAAACTGAGCAGAAGCACCACCACTCCTGCATACATCTGCCCAAGACCCGTCTCCGATCTAAGAGAGAACCAGAGCTCACCCGACTGCGGGAAGAGAGAGCTGGACTGCACCGACGCCGGAGTGACTCGAAGATCCAACCCCCAAAGCCGAAAGACATCACCTTTCAAACCCGGACAAGCAAGAATTGTAGTGAGACCAACCGTTATCCTTCCTCTACGACGAGACTTCCGGGTAATAGATAATGCACTACATCTTTCATTTCATTCCAGCCTCATATCCTTCTGGAATCATCAACCGCGCCCCCTTCTGGAATGAACCGAGTTCAGTTCCTGAATGTCTTGAAACTTTTGAATGGTTATTTTATGAAGGAAAAGAAGAAGGTGACTATTTCCTCGGAAACCACGGACTCCGACAAGAAACTCGAGATTCTCAAGGAGTAGTTATCATTGTCCTTTAGGCGTTCAACCCAACTGTGGGAACCGAAATTCACACTTGTCGATTTCTGTTAAATAAGGAAACTTAGGAAAACCCTAATTTTCCAGAGGAACCGGATCTCTGCGAAAGCCAACTACAAGTAACCAAATAAATGCGGAAAAATACGAAAAACGTAAGAAAACGAATTTAAAGAAAAAGTTGATCTTATTTCGATTTCGCGTAAGAGCGTTGCGATCATTACAAGGGTTTACAAAGGCTTTGGCCGCAGGGCCGTCAGCGAGTTATCAACATAAAAACCTTAAACCTAATCGAGTCGCAGCTCGATAACAAAAGACAGAAAAAGATAAGAAAAAGGATTTGATTGATTTCGGACTGAACCTTATGAAAGGCTGCCTACGTACCCCTTTCGAGGATCAAGTCGAACATAGTTCAGTTGATAGAGATGGACCAGAGATCAAACCGCCTAGGCGAGTTCGTCTAATAATTGAGCGCCAGTCATAGAAACCGAACTTGTCGAGAAAAAGCCTAAGTTTCTAAGTGCGGAAAATTCTAAGTCTACAAAAGTTGTAAAAGTCTCACATGAGAGCTCTGGATTTCGTCCCTCTGCTTCTGCCCTATGCCTCTTGCTTATATACTCCCTTCCTAGGCGGTTTAGTCTTTCCATTTCGCCCAGATTCGAGTTTAACGGGAATCTTCCATTTATCTCGATCTTTCCTTTTTTCCCGCGGAAATCTTCTATTTATCCTCAAACTTGACATTTATCTTCAAGTTTGACATTTATCTTCTTTCTGCGAGTAAATCGCCAAAGTCAGAAGCTTTGTATAAACTTTCCTTCGTATTGCGGGGCGATACTCGAGGGAGATAGATCCTAAGAAGCTCGATGCAGAGCCCGTGTGGAGTCGTTTGCGGGGCGGTCTCA